ATTTTCCTACATTGAAAATCGAAAAACTTTGAATGCATTTAATTATAAAGACAATTTGGAGAGTCAAACCCACTCTCTAAATTAAAATGTTAATTTAAAGAGTCCCTTGGAGCATGATTTTAAAGGTTAATTCTTTAAAATAGAAAGTATTTCATGTTTAAAGAGTCTCTTGGAGATGCTCTTATAAACCATCCTTTTCAATTTTGCAATATCATTTAGTTAAGTGAAATATATGAAGCAACAGAGTAGGACACCTGGCCTGCCTCTATCTCAGTCTGGAATTTCCTTGCAGCTACACCGGATGTAGTAAAAAGAGCCGCACCATTCCCGTATCTGAAAATTTAGATACACGCTGTGAGATTCAAACAAAAAACAAAGAAAAAGAACTTAATGATAAAAGAGATCTAGGAAATAGGAATTACTTATTTCTGTTGACTATGTTTATGGCTTCTTCTAAACTGTCAGCCTGAGAAGAGCAAAAAGAAAATTGAAACTCTCAGCATTTGCCTGTGTTCAGCTTAATTGCAATTGGAGTTGGGTAATTAACTATTGACGTACCTTCATGCAAATGAGGACAGGGCCAAAGATCTCTTCCTGAAATCCCATAACGAGAGAGATTAAATAGGGAAAAGACTTGAGATTCAAGCTACCTTTTCAATATGGGGGAAGAGAGAGAGGACAAGATCCATACCTTATAACATTCCATGTCAGCAGTTACATCAGACAAGATAGTGGGGCCAACAAAGTTACCTTGTTCATATCCTGGTACCTAATAGTAATAGGTGGAAGAAAATTATGAAGTTATTAGCTCATCGATCATTTTCAACTCAAGTAGTGATGAAGTTATTTCTAGAAGAGCTTACATTATGTTAACAAATTAATAATCACTATAACTTTCCATAGCTGCAATTTTCTTCTATTCCCATGACATGCATGTCAACTTAAAACGAATTTCCATTCTTTTTCTAGCTTTTGTTCTGCTGACATCTGTTATCTTCCCATAAGCAATGTGCCCAGATCAACATGTACAACTACATATTATAATATTAAATATTATTTATGACCACTAGAGTAAAATCCAATTCGTAGAAATTTCTGAATTTCATTTATGTTTCAAACATTACAGTGACTGGTATATAGAGAAAAACATTCTCCTAGAATTACGCTACAAATATATAAAATCAAGCCTAGTCAACTATAGATATATGAAAGACAATTACAGCTATATGACAGCCATAATTATGGCAAAATAAAGCAATAAGTCAACATGTTTTCCACACGATGCATTATCACTGTCCAGGATAAATTAAATTTAATTACCGCCACCTACATTACCCTCCACACCAGTTCAGAAAAACGATTTGACACTGTCACGAATGGTGTGCATGTAAAAATATTGTAGGGCTTCAAACAAGTCAATGCTACCTAGCAACAATTCATCAAATTTCAATGGCAAAGTAGGTTTCCTCACTTTCTGTGTCTCAACATACCGGAAAAAGCGAGTAGATGAGGGCTTAATAAACAGAAATACCTTAATAGCTCTTCCATCCAGCAATACTTTGGCACCACTGTTAATGCCACTTTGAACCAATTTGCATATTCGTTCCTTTGCCTAAGAATGTAGAAAAGAAAACATGATAAATGACCCGCAAAAACAAATATACACGTAAAATGAGGATGTATCATGAGCTACTGAGTGGTAAAAAACTGTTGATAAAGGTTCTAGCAGATGCAATTATAGTAATGCTACTTTTGGACTCTGTTTGTACCTGCTTACTGATGACTGGACCAAGGTCTGCTTCAGGATCTGTTCCGATATTTACTTTAAGGGCCTTGGCTCGCTCAACTAACTTTTCTTCCCTACAAAGGTTCAAATGAATTACAGAAAATTTCAATATCATTGAGAAGGATATAATGAAGGTACTAATCTTATGGAAATGTTTTCCCTTCCAGAATAGAGGCGGCAAAAAAATATGTAATTTATGGTCCTCAACAATTACAGCAATGCATACCATGAGGCAGATAATCAGAAACTAGTTTTTTTACGGGTAATATACTGCCCCTTCTGAGATTCAAGAAAGTAAATTTTATGCACTGTCAAAGAAAATATCATAAACAAAGGAGAATACCATGGATTTGAATCTCCAACGAAGACCACTGTGCTCAACGCCATGCACCTTTGTCCTGCAGCACCAAACCCAGCAGCAACTAGAGCATTTAGTGTAGCATCCACATTTGCATCATGCAATACGACTCCGTGGTTCTTGGCTCCCATGTTGGACTGAAAGAATTTGTTTGTTAGGCAGTCAATTTTTTTAAGCTTCACATAGAGAATGCTAGATACAAACCATATCTGTTTATAACAAAAACTGAATCTTGCTTATGTAGATTGTAGAATACAACAATTGCACTGACCTGGACTCGTTTTCCTCTAGCTGATGCTCTTCCATAAATATGCATACCAGCCTAAAGACAATAACAAAACAAATAAGCCCTTAATCCAATGCACAAAGATGAAAGAATATCAAATGCAAGAAAATTTGGTTATCGAGCAAAAAAAGGATTCGTTCTTCTTCTTTTTCTTTTTCTTTTTTTTCTTTCTCTTTTTTTTGGGGGGGGGGGGGGG